TGTTTTTAACAACTAAGAATGAATTATAAAACCTTAGACTTATTAGAGTAAATTTACAAAAATCCTCATAATTGAAAAGCCAAAAATTCATAGTAAATAAACAAGGGTTGGGAGCGGTGGTGCACATAATCGGAATAGCTAGCCAGGCCAGAATAAAAAGGAATAAGGATCAATCTTAAACAAGCCAAGCCTGTGATGGAGCTCCCGTACTCCTACCGAGTACCTCCACCAAGTGTGCTTCCTTGCTGTCACAGGGGACTCTGGAACACTTCCGACCAAGTCACGAAGGTTGACTGGGGACTTTCTGGAGATTTTCCACCGACCAGGCTGCAGATCTCTCCTTCCAGGCAGGTATCATCCCCTCTTCCTATTCCTCTGCAGCTCTCCTTACAGGTAGGTATCCCAAACTCTGCCACTTATATTAGCTCTTGCCTTTAAAAAGACACTTGTGGTGACCATGCAGTCAGTCAACAGGTCCAAAGACTCTGCTACTGGGATCCCTGAACAATTCCACACAGGACACACAGTTCCAAAAGGAACTACCATATAATTCTTTATTTTTGGCAAGGACTAGCCTTTGGGGACATGTCCTTAAGCATGTAGTGACAAGCAGTTAAAATGAATTACACTATTGTTCAGCAACTAGCACTCTTCATGTCTTCATGTTACACTCTGTAAGCTTTATCTTAGTTTAATAGATAGGCATGTGTACCTAACGCGAGTTCTCTATATATCCAAAAATTATGCAAATTTCATATGTCACACCATTGTTTAGCTATGCAATTGTCTCCTTGTGTTTTCTGATAAGCTAGCAATGGCTGTTGTGACAATGCCAGCCTGTATGTTTATATCATAAATTTTTTTTTATTTTTTTTTAATACAAATACACAGAACATTGGAGAACGAGCAATTATAATTAATACATGAAATGTATAATACAAGTAATATTGGCAAACACAATAAAAAGCAACAATATATGCATTTAACTACTTATTTGGTTGACCTCATTTGCATACCAGCCTTATGTAAATACACACACTTCAATTCAGGCAGCAGAGGGCGCTGCAGAGTTAACAAGTAACAATGAATATTTTATTTTTCAATTGCCACCGTCACAAGCCCCTTACAGTGGCTCTTGGGACCAAGTCCATAGTCTATGGGCAAGAGGCTGGCCTTCAAACCTCTTCAAAAGGCCATAGCACGGGAACCGCTGTCAATGAGTTAATATCAAAATAAACCTGAGTCATAAGAAAGACAATGCAGCTATTATGGCACAGTGCTTAGCAAAATTCATTCATCTTCATTTGGTCAAAATATCATTCAGTGCTCTGTATTCAGGGAGGCCATTTACATCCTGTATGGAGTGTCGCCAAAGGTAAGTTGCTCTGTTTGAGCCATGACAAGCAGGAAATAAACATATACTAAAATGTTGGGTGGTTACTATTTAGGCAGCCAGGGCAGGCTGGAATGTTTGGAGAGACATGGACATGTTCCACAGGAGACCCATGTTTGGTTATGTAATCCAGTATCAGAAGATGACCTCACAGGTCAAGGACAACCAAACCTGGGACCTTGGGTTGCTGCTGAATGGGAACTAAGATTAATTAACAGTGTACAACCTAATTGGGGAAAAAATAGGACCATATAGTCTTGAAAATATTTCAAGGCATTTAAAGGAACGTTCCAGAGCCTTAAGGCATTTTAACTTGCTGAAGTGCTTAATGTGATCCAGGTCCCTTTCACATTGTCTTCTTTTTCCCGCTCCATTTTTCTTTTAAACCAGTGAATTTCAAAACGATACATTTTCCTGTTTTTTTACACTAGGTTAATAATAATCTAATGCAACTCCCACTGTAAGACTAATCAAAGGCTCAGATATGTGCTTTTTGGTGTTGTGCATTAGACCCCTCCAGGACCAGTGTTAACGGGACACTATATTTACCGAAACAACCTAATAATGCAGTTTTTGTATATAGATCATACCCCTGCAGTCTCAATTCTCTGCCATTTAGAAGTTAAATCACTTTGTTTATACAGTCCTAGTCACAGTCCCCAGCATGTGACTTACACAGTCATTCTAAACACTTCCTGTAAAGAGTCATCTAATGTTTAAACTTCCTTTTATTGCACAGTTTGCCTAATTGAGAATTTCTTATCTCCTGCTCTTTTAGTAGCCTGCTAGATCCTGCAGGAGCCCCCTGTGTGTGATTATAGTTCAATTTACAGAGCAGGAGATAAAAAAGTCTAAAGTAAGACCTTATTAGGTTGTGCACCTGGGAGTAGTTTCTCTATATTATTTGTTTATATTTTCATTTTATACAAGGTGAATATTTATTAAAGGAACATTCCAAACACCATAACCACTAAAGGCGTCTGTAGTGGCTATGTTACCAGGACTGCCCTGGCATTATCCCAGTGTAGTTTGTCATACTGATTTAGAAGAGTATTACAACTTAATATGGTACCGCCATATGCCCGCCCCAGCAACCTCCGTTCCTTGATCTCTCTGCAGCAGAATGTGCTGATCTAAGCGAGGCCGAGCTCATTGGCTGAGAGCATTAGCTGAGTGCCCTCAGTCAATGAGCGTGGCTTTGTATAGGGTGTGATGTAGCTCTATGACGTTATATGACGCCTGGGGGACCCAAGTATATTGTCAAATTGTTACAATGAGAGTACCGCATAACCACTACAATGGGTTTTAAAGGTTGCCGAGTTTGCAATGTTTCTTTGAATACTTGATCACACTTTGTTTTTTTTTAATGTATGCGTTAGGGACTGTGTTTGTGTGTGTCTGTAGGGGGTTGTTGTGTTTGTGTGTGTCTATCGGGGCTGTTGTATGTATTTATGGGCTGTAATGTGGATGTATAGGGGCTGTATTTTGTTTTTAAGGACTGTGTGCCCATAGGAGCTTGTATCTAGGTAGCGTATTGCATGCTTATAAGGTAATAGAGTATAGTGGCTGTAGTGTTAGGGCATTGTTGTGGCAGACCCAGGTCTGTTCGTGTATTCCCTGCTTGTAATATGTATGTCCTCCCTGTATTTCGACTATTGTATCCTCCTCCCCGTTCGGGAGTGTTCATGCGAAAGGAGCATCCGTCTCCTGAACGGGGACCACCCCAATAGCCCATTTAGAACCCTAGACAGAACATCAATTAGAACATTCTCGCCTTGACCTAGCGGCAAAACCACAAGGGAAGCCATCGGCGCGTGATTCCTATTCTGAAAGGAGACGTTTCTCTTGCCTGGTTTCCACACAGGAATCCCGGCGAACGGAGACGGTTTGTGACAGGGGCCGTTGTGAGGGTCCCTGAGGTTGGTGTGGGCACTTATGGGGCACTGGCTAGTTTGGCGGGTTTTTCTGTGCCTGGGAGACAAAGGGACGATCTCTTTTCCCGCGCTTTGGCTCCTACGCACAGAGGCTTCTGGGAAGAAGACGTCCCTGTCATCTGGTCTGGGAAACCATGTGATTGGGTGGCAAGCTTTGAGCACAATGCCCATTCCCGCGCTGGGACCCCAGGAAGGGGAAGGAGACTGGAATGTGACCCTGTATGTGTGTGTGTCGGAAACCCTTTGCATGGGGTTATGCATAAAAGTCGAGTGTGGTACAATAAAATAGTGTTGTACCTCCAGAACTAGGTCTTGTCCAGTTACTGGGGGGATGGGGAGGGAAATGGGTCTCTTTGCATTCTAAGTGGTTCCAGAGCGTCGGAAGGAAGGCCATAGCGGAGGTAACCGGTCGGGTTACCCAGAGTCCGCTACAGAGGTGTAGTGTTTGGGATAGGGGCAGAATTGTGTGGTAGGGGGTGTTCTTTTGTGGGATAGAGGTTGTGTTTTACAGGGGGAAATAAACGCTGTAGTGTAGGGGGTACACTACATTTAAGATACTATATTAAAAAATTAATACGTTTGTTCCCTGGTGATCGGGCCAGTATCTGGTGTACACACTTGGTGAGTACAGACCACATGCACTCTGTAAAGCCAGAGCTGGGCTAAGAATCAGGGCGCTATCATGGTAACACGCGGCAGCACTCTGATTCACTATAGGGAGATATGCATATGTAAGCACCCTAGGTCCCCATGGCTGCCCAACGATGGCCAGTACACTGGCATCAGAAACAGTCTGTCTATAATGTGGGCATGGCACTCCTCAGACCCGTACCCAATGGCCCTCCTCCCAGTACCCCTCAGCTGCTTTGTAGCGTTGTCTTGGTGGTCTAGTGTCAGGTCATTGCACTGGTAACCCACAGCAACACTCTTCAAAGCCAGGATCATTGCTCTGTCTGCCCTCCCCAGATATCTGAGCTTACAAGGCAGGTAACGTAGGTAACAATGGCCAACACAGGACCAGAACTCCCTTCTTCCCAAGCTCTCCAGCAACAGTTAGGAAACGCAGGGCCAGTCAGAGAGATCTCCCTGCCGGCCCGTATAGTGCGTACATCAGGGTGTACCTTGGAACACCCGGCACACCCCATGCGAACACCTATGGTAAGCACACTGTACTGACTGAAAATGAAAACCTTTTTTTTCATGCAGGCTGTGTGAGTCACAGCCGGGGGGAGGTGTACCTAGGGCTCCCTAAACAGATATTTATAACAATTGCTATAGCAGTTTTAAATACCTTTATTATAGCATTTTATGATTTAAATGTTTTTACTGTATGTGGGCACTATGCTGAGATGAAGGCAATTCTATTTTACAACCTGTTGCGATTTTCAGTATGTTTTGCTGCTAGTAATGCCTTCAGGGTCCTTGTGAAACCTATAAGTTAGGTCACATCTATATTCCTCCTCACATTTCAAATTTACAAAGAGGAACACTGTGAAGGGGGCTGTTCTGAGAAATTTTAGGCGACTTACTGGTAGCATTTTATGGAATTAAAATGTAATTTAGAACAAGAGCAATGTATTTTATGTAGACAGACTGATTTCTTAACACATTTAATGTAGGTTAAAGATACCTTACTGGGAGTATTATTGCTGTGGAGCTCTGTTATACACTCAGACACATTACTGGGAGTATTATTGCTGTGGAGCTCTGTTATACACTCAGGCACATTACTGGGAGTATTATTGCTGTGGAGCTCTGTTATACACTCAGTCACATTACTGAGAGTATTATTGCTGTGGAGCTCTGTTATACACTCAGTCACATTACTGGGAGTATTATTGCTGTGGAGCTCTGTTATACACTCAGACACATTACTGGGAGTATTATTGCTGTGGAGCTCTGTTATACACTCAGACACATTACTGGGAGTATTATTGCTGTGGAGCTCTGTTATACACTCAGACACATTACTGGGAGTATTATTGCTGTGGGCGCTCTGTTATACACTCAGACACATTACTGGGAGTATTATTGCTGTAGAGCTCTTTTATACACTCAGACACATTACTGGGAGTATTATTGCTGTGGAGCTCTGTTATACACTCAGACACATTACTGGGAGTATTATTGCTGTGGAGCTCTGTTATACACTCAGACACATTACTGGGAGTATTATTGCTGTGGAGCTCTGTTATACACTCAGACACATTACTGGGAGTATTATTGCTGTGGAGCTCTGTTATACACTCAGACACATTACTGGGAGTATTATTGCTGTGGAGCTCTGTTATACACTCAGACACATTACTGGGAGTATTATAGCTGTGGAGCTCTGTTATACACAGACACATTACTGGGAGTATTATTGCTGTGGAGCTCTGTTATACACTCAGACACATTACTGGGAGTATTATTACTGTGGAGCTCTGTTATACACTCAGACACACCTACAATATAAAGCTCCAAGAAGAGAGGGGCATTTGGATAATAAAGATGGACTAGTGCCCAAAATAGGGACTGTCCCTCCTAAATAGGGACACTTGGGAGATATGCTTCTGCCTTTTGCAGTTTTGCTTTTAAACTTACATTTCAGACCCTGTGTGAAATATCACAGGATACAGGAAACTGTATACTGTCTAAAGCAGGGCTGGCCAACAGGTAGATCTCCAGATGTTGTGGAACTTCAACTCCCATGATGCTTTGCATGCCTTTAGAATGACAAAGCATCATGGGAGTTGTAGTTCTCCAACATCTGGGGATCTACCTGTTGGGCAGTCCTGGTCTCAAGCATTTCATTTCCCAAATATTTTTATTAAGGAGGAACAAATAAGGGGGGAAAAAAAGTGTAAATTTCTATAATTTTAATTATGAAATGTGTTTGCAAAAAACAATTTTTGGATTACAGGAGGAGGCTAACACAACTGAGAGCTAATTTTCTGCAAAGAGCGTTTATCTTGAGGCATCCATGAAGCAGGAAAAAACTCTTCTAATCGCCATTTAAAAAAAAAACAAAAACAAAAAAAAGGTGTTTAAATAATTCCAATTTAGATATGTGTAATGGAGCTTCCTGTACCCCAGTTGGGTACCTCCCCTGACGGATGCTCCTACTGCTCACCGAGGACTCCGAGCACTCCACCAGACACCATCAACACTGCGGTCCCCACGTCCAGCGTTATAGCTTGGCTGGGAACTCGCCGTCCTTCACCCACCCTGGACCCAAGACCAAGATCCAGCTTCCAGTGGGTGAACCTCTCCTACTCCAGAGAGCGTAGCAGGAACAGCTCTTAAAAGAGCTAGTGATTATAATTCCTGGGGAGTATAGTGATATAGCAATCCCCATTCCCCCACACATGAGATGAGACTCTACATAGGAACTCAACTTTTAATGGAGGCACACTGGCCTTATGCAACTTTTCCAACAAGGGTGACACTCAGGTGGACCTTGTTGGGCACAGGACACAAAGTATGCAAGCCAATAAAAACACTGTTATAAGGAATGACACTCCCACATACAGTACACAATCCCTCCCCTCTGCCTGTGATATAATTAAGACAGATAGTGTATTAACTTCATTAACCCCAGACAGAAAAAACACACATATGTATAAAAGAGCACAAGTACGCCAAAATACAACATATTCCCATAAATATCCCCTGATAGCCCTGATCTGGGTGAACAACATATCCAAAAATCACCAAAATCAGAGCAGGGGTTCAGGAATTTTGTGGAAGTCCCATTTTGACCGACCGCACGCATGGTTTCATGCCCAAAACAGTTCCATAGAATTAGGTTGTGCGGCCGGTCTATTTCCAACTGTCGAAGTACCATTCAAATTACCGAACGAGATAGTGAATGGACATAGTCAATGTGTGTCCCTTGTTCGTGGGCTTCGACTCACCAAATGCCGTTCCACTCCCGTTCGAATTGTCGAAGTTTCCTGGAAGGTAACTTTTCAGTAGTGTTCGTGCCGTTGCATGTCCGATTTGAGGTCCATGAACTCGACGACAAAACACTGCTGAACACTTCGACCAAATTAGATGGCCGCCGCCACGTGTTCGAATGTCGAATGGTGGCCACTTCGACTACTTCGACTGTTCAAAGTACTATTGTTCATATAAACAATAGTTTAATTTTGTAAATAGGGTTTTTCAAAATTAAAGGGGCCATAGTCACAAGGCATTCATAGGGAAAATTAGGATTACTGAACAAACAGACGAAATAAGAAATAAAATATAAAATCCAGGGACAGAGTGGTCTGTCACAATATGCTTTGGATAAAATATTCTGTTTTGTTTAGTAGTCACAGATCTGGTTCATGCATAACTTTTTTTTTTTTTATATAACTTATTAAATCAGCACTATGCTGACACAAATGGAGCGATGTTTTTCCTTAGTAATGTTAATGCATGTGGAACGCATTTCACATAATGCACAGTTAGCATTTAGGCTGCAGTGGTTATGGTGCCAGGAGTACCCTAGCCCAGTTTCCTGGTTATATGTCAAACAGTCTAGCAATAGTTTTTCCTCTAACCTGGTTCTCCGCCAGATTCCGATGCTCCCTGGCGGTCCAGCAAAGCCACCGCCATTCATTATTATTATTGTATTATTTATATAGCGCTAGCAAAATTCCGTAGTGCTGTACATTTGGTGGACTAACAGACACGTAATTGTAACCAGACAAATGGACGCACAGAAACAGAGGGGTTGAGGGCCCTGCTCAATGAGCTTACATGCTGGAGGAAGTGGGGTAAAGTGACACAAAGGGGATAAGTAGCGGTAATGAAATAGGTTGCTAGAAAAGTATTCACTGGGAACTTAGTAGGTTACATAGTTACATAGTTACATAGCTGAAAAGAGACTTGCGTCCATCAAGTTCAGCCTTCCTCAGAAATGTTGTTGCTGTTGATCCAAAAGAAGGCAAAAAACCTGGTCTGAAGCACTTCCAATTTTGCCACAAACTAGGAAAAAATTCCTTCTTGACCCCAAAATAGCAGTCAGATGTCTCCTTGGATCAATCAGCTATTACCCCACTAATTAGAAATTATATCCCTGTATGTTATGTTTTTGTAAGTATTTATCCAATTTCAGTTTAAACATCTGTATGGACTCTGACAAAACCACCTCTTCAGGCAGAGAATTCCATATCCTTATTGTTCTTACTGTAAAAAAACCTTTTCTTTGCCTTAGGTTATTTTTGACAGTTGCAGGAGCGGAGTCATGGGGGGAAGGGGGTAAATGAAAATCCGCTAACAGTATATATTATTTTGAAGGAGTGGAGAATGGGTGAAATTCTAATGGAGAAGGGAATGGAGTTCCACAGAAAAGGTGCAGCCCTGGAATATTCATTGGATAAGAGCGTCAGCTGACCACTCTCAATGAAATGAAAGTTGCATGGAAGTGACATTGGCCAACCTGGAACTCCGGGATGGCTGATGACACCATTATGGCGTTGCCCAAGGTGGAATTACACTTCGGCAGAAGAGGGGATAAACTCTGTAAAACTGTATATGCAGACTCCAGACACCATGACCACTTCAAATAACTTAAATGGTGATGGTACTTGAAGTAATTAATAAATTTTTTCAGTCAGCAGAGAAGGAGGTCACATTTTATAATGTAACTGATAAGTATTTATTTTACCACAATTCCATTCAAACTTGTACATGTCCTTATACTGCATTTAAATTAATATCGGTAATCCAGGCAGACTGTGAAATGTCATTATACGACGATGTAGTAAAAATAAAATGTTTAACAATGTTCTCAGCTCTTGGATTTTCAAATAATATATTTAGTTGGCAGAAATATGGACTTAAGCCAGGATGTAAGCAAAATCTCTCGTGGAATTTCTAGCAATACAAAGTCTGCAGCCTCGACTGAAGTTATCAGATCTACAGCTGGGAGGAGTAAGCAAATTAACTTCACATAACTGCAACCCAACAATCACCCAAACATGCCTCGAACCTTCTTCCTGCAGCAACGCACACTTCGAACACACCGTTGTGTTATTTAGAGATAAGCCTGGGAACTTTGCTGTTCAACAGAATGAGTCAATGAAAGACGTATGCATCACATAAGTCCAACTCAGAAAGAAAAAGGTGTTACATACAGATAGTTTGAGCAACGTGATTCTTCTGTTGGTGTTCTGCTCGTCCAGCAAGCTGTGAACAAACTAACAACGTAAATAACAAACAGAACGGCACGAAAAAACAAACAGCTGTCAAGATAAAATTGCTCTGCATTGCCAATTTATTGTCAACCATACAGTCAAGCCAGTTATGTACATCTACTCAACATAAAGCAAACGAAGAATGGAAGACTTCTTTCAGACCGCTTTCACAACCAGCAATTCGAATCTCAGTGTGGCATGCTTAGTGAACAAAGAATTCACTTTCCGTTTTTTGTCTTCGGTCTACATCATTGTCTTTATCATTGGGCTACTTGGCAATGGTTTTGGATTGTGGAATTTGGCCGTCAATTGGAAGAAGTGGACGTCTTTAAATGTGTTTGTGCTTAATCTTGGCATTGCGGATCTACTCTATGTTGCCACCCTCCCTTTCTTTGTCTCCTACTACCTCAACAAAGAACAGTGGGTGTTTGGCTACAGTTTTTGCCGTCTTGCACGTTGCCTCTTCCATGTCAACATGTACGCAAGTATAAGCTTCCTCACCTGCATAAGCGTCCAACGTTATTTGGGTATTGTACATCCGATGAAAATGATGGGACGCTTCCAGAATCTACGTCCCTCTTTTTATATCAGCATCTTGATCTGGATTTGGGTAATAATTCAGATTGTACCACACCTTCACTTTACAAATGCACTTAAAAATAATACCTTCTGCTACGATTCTACTACGAACGATTTTTTATCTATTTATACACCCTACTCGTTAATTATAACATTTACTGGGTTCTTAATCCCTTTTATTATCATAGTTATATGCTACATTCGTGTTCTCTCGGTCTTGAAGAAAAATACAAACGTGGACCCCAACTTGAAGCAAAGAAGTATCAAACTTGTCTTCATTGTTTTGACATTATTTTTTCTCTGCTTTTTCCCCTACTATACTTTCCGCAATCTCAATTTGTTAGCCAGAGTCTGGCAGTTGCAAGGAACGTGTACTCAGACCCTGCGAAATGTCTATGTTTCATACCAGGTGACCAGAGGGTTGGCAAGTTTAAATAGTGCCATTAACCCCTTAGTTTACTTAGTGACCAACGAGAACTTTATTTCTAAATTCCGAAGGATAAGAAGGAGAGCATGGCACAAGTTTGTCAACTTGGGAAGAAGTCAAAGGCTTCCAGAGAGTAAAACATTAAATGAAAATGTAAACAATACACTCGAGGAAGCATGTGAGCAATTATAACGTGCTCACATTATTTATCTTTTTGTTTGTCCTGTTTTTTTGTTTTGTTATGTTTTTCATTTGCTTAGTTTTTCTTTTTCTTTTTATATCACATCACTTTTTTGGGATGTTTAAGTGACAATTCAACTGATTTTTGTTGTTGAAGAAATGAAGTGAGCTAAAACATTGTTACAATATATGTATATTCCATGCAGTATTAATTTTGTAGGAATTCGGGTTGGCTGTGATAAATGTACTTCAGAATTGTTTTATCTCGAAAAGATGTATTTACTGCCGTAATGCAGGACGGATTTATTTATAAATACAAAATAAATATACACAAATGCTTGTGATTCAGTAAATACATTATGTGTGTGTGTTTGTCTGTCTGTATGCATGTGTGCACTGTCTGTCTTTCATCTGTCTGCTTATATTTCTATGTGTGTGCTCATTGTTGTGAGCTTTTGTTTAACCATCAAGTTTAACTAAGAAGAGGATTCTATAAATAACACGTTGAGCAGCTTTGTCAAATGTACTGTGTGTGTTTATGTGTAAAATATTTAGAGAATTTGTACCAGAAATCGGTGCATCAGCTATTTATTCAAGAATTTCGTTGCAAAGTAAAATGATAAGCAAAGGTTCTGCATTTCAGTTTATTGCATTATAAAAATATAATATAGGCGTAATATATGATACCTCAGGCACACCCTTAGAACACCAGCTGTTTAAAGAGAGCTATGCAGTTGCACCCATAGAAAACCTGCTCTTTACAGAGATATGCAAATGCCTTCATGAAAAATTAGTTATATACAGAGAATTATGAAGGCGCATACATAGAAAACAAGCTGCGTACAGAAAGATAATCAGGTGAACATATTGAAAACCATTCAGCTTCTAATTCTTGTGCATACACCCCATTAAGGGGTCTTTATACACACCATAGAATTGCAGTTGTAAAATGTAACTGAATGGATCGTGATGTTAGAGCAAGTATCTATAACCCACATTGAAGGCAGCACACTGGCAATCAGTGTTACCATGTCACATTTAAAAGGTTATAAACTGAAAACAAATGGTTTATATTAACTATCTTTAAAGGGGGGAGCTGTCACAATCAAGACTTATGTTGACGTATCCTCTATATTTAACAAATGCGTGTCTCTGAGGTTTGAAACAATGAAATGAAAGGTAGAAATCCACGTTTCTCCATCTTAGCTCCTGTTAGTCATTGTTCTAAGCTCTGCCCTTTGCACCTGACACTCGGCATAGAGAAATCTCACAGTGAGGAGGTGAAAACAAACAATGTTTCTATCTTTCTTTCCACAAATGTAAATATGAATGGAGTATCTCAAAAATAGCTTGATGCAAGATTTTCAATATTTTATTCAATACTGTAAAGTCCAAAGGAATGACAAAATATATGTCTGTTTGTTTTTTAACCTTAACTGGAAATTGTGGAGAATTGACAAGGAAATTGCAAAGTAGGCCAAAATAGGAAAATTGGAGAATTCCTTTGTCCATTTTCTACAATTCCCAGTAAAATTAATAAAGCCATATGTTCCCGAATATGATATTATTCTTATGAAACAGCAAGACTGGAGGCTTTATTGTCTGTTTACTAAACTGTGAAATTTTACAAGGGAATGTAAAATTCGGGGTGTGTTAGTTACGTAAGACAGGAAAGGGCAGAACTTTAAATAACTATGTTTCCTCAATATATATTAGCGGGGAACTTTGGAAAGAAATATGCACGTGATTTCTGCAAAAAAACACTTGGAGAAAAAATGTGATTGGTGACTCAAGACAAGGTGCTGAAGCAACTAAAGAAAGTTAATATAAACAATGCTTCGAGGCCTGACGATATTCAACCATGAGTACTTAAGGACCTAAGTGTGGAAATAAGTGAACCTCTGTTTTTAATCTTTAGGATTCTTTTCTTTGAGGCATTGTACCAGAGGATTGGATTAAGGTAGATGTGGTTCCTATATTCAAAAGTGGTTCAAAACGTTTGCCTGAAAATGATAGATCTGTGAGATTAATGTTTGTGGCTGGGAAAGTATTTGAAGGTTTATTAAGGGATAATATTTATGAATTCATTGGGGAGAATATTGTTATTAACAAAATTCAGCATGATTTTATGAAACACAGGTCATGTCAAACTAACTTAATTGCATTCTACAAACAAGGAAATAGAGGTATAGATCAGGGTGTTGCATCGCATGTGATCCTCTTGGATTTTGCTAAGGCGTTTGATACGGTTCCACACAATAGGTTAGTCTTCAAACTAAAAGAAATTGGTCTAGAAGAAAATTCTTGCTCTTGTGTAGAACATTGGCTTTGAGATAGCACAGAGAGTTGTCATTAATGGCAAATTTTCAAGCTGGACAAAAGTGGTAAATGCTGTCCCTCAGGGTTCTGTTCTGGGATCCCTCTATTTAATACATATATATATATATATATATATATATATATATATATATAAATGATCTTGAAATTGGCATTGTAAGTCATGTTTCAGTATTTGCAGATGACACTGACCTCTGTAAAGTAATACAATGTGAGCAGGATATTACATCACTGCAGAGGGATTTAGATAGATTGGGGGACTGGGCACTCAGTAAGAAAGGAGATTTAGTCTAAGGCAAAATAAAAGTTGTTTTTTTTTACAGTAAGAACAATCAGGATGTGGAATTCTCTGCCTGTCGAGGTGGTTTTATCAGAGTCTGTACAGATGTTTAAATACCTGCAAAAACATAAAATTCAGGGATATCATTTTTAATTTCTGGGGTAACAGCTCCTTGATCCAAGGAGAGATATGACTGTCATTCTGGGTCAAGAAGCAATTTTATCCTAGTTTGCTGAAAAATTGGAAGAGCTTCAAACTGTTTATTTTGCCTTCTTTTGGGTCAACAGCAAAAATAGATGTGGGAAAGTCGGAACTTGATCGACGCATGTCTCTTTCCAGCCTGTGTAACTTTGAAAGTGGTAACCTTGAAAAATAGCTGAGTCAGTAAATATTTCATTTTGACTATTTTAACAATAGTCATTAATAACATCTGGATTCTGTCTTTTTCCTACTTTGTAAATATGTGCAATGACATTTTACATTAAACATTTATAAAAAATATTATCAGATTTGTGATGTGATTTTGTTTGGACCAAGGTACCATTTTCTACAATTTGCTTTTAAACGGATTAATGTTCCTTTGATGTTATAAATAAAGCACGTTTTGCCTCTTACATCCTAAAATATGTTTTTATTTTTATAGCATTCTGATGTGACCTCCCTAATTTAAATTCTATTTTAGGGGTGGCAGATTGAACCTCATAAAATAATGGGCAGTTACTAAAAGTCCAGTAAATAACTGGGGCCCTGATGTGCTTATTGAAAAAGGAGCCTCTTACGTTTTATCACATTGCCTTGAGATTATGCTGATTTGAAATTTAGTAATAATTTAGAACAGGGCCGCCATCAGGGCATTACAACCATGATCCTGGGGGGCCAAACTGCTCAGGGCGTCCCGGGCCCCACATAACCTATGTGCACATATATATATGTGCACGGAGGGCTCACGCTACCTGTATTCTGCAGGGTGCCCAGCACATTAGAAATATACTTCCCAGCTGCTCTGCTCTAAGTCTCGTGAGCGCCGCGATCATCAGAGCGTTGCACGGGTTACAATGGCTTGCAAGACTCAGACAGAGCAGAGCAGCTGGGAAGTATATTTCTAATGTGCTGCCCCCCTGCAGAATACAGGTAGTGTATTGCAATGTGATCTCCCCCCTACCTGAACACAGGTAAGACATGGCGAGAGGGGGATAAAATGTATTACAATTAATGGAAGAAAAACAAACAAACAAACAAATACTGTAGGCTTTCCCCCCCACATTATACAGCCCCATACATTTACACACACTGTACACTAACATTTACGCACACTTTACACTATACTACAACATTTACCCACACTACATCCTTACACAAACACACTCTGCTTTCACTACACACACTACTTCTTTACACACACTCTGCATTCACTGCACATACTACATCCTTACACAAACACGCACTCTTTATTCACTACATACACTACATTAAAAAAAAGTCCTGCGCTCACTCCCAACACTCCTGGGAGGCAGCAACAACCACAGTACACATCAGCCCCAATACATACAGTAAAAACCAAAGAAAAAGTTACCTGCGCTCTCTCCTTAATCCCTATGTATATTTAAACAAATGGAGGTCATTTAGTTACTCCAATGGCCATTGGAGGGAATTGCTGCCTGCCAATGTCACGGCAGACCCCCTTAGATGGGTCCTACACTCAGGGGAGGGCTGGCAGCCTCAGACCTCGGGGGCAAATCCAGTCAAATGGCCCATTGCACCCCCGAACCAGCTCACCATCCATGCCCACCTTTTCCTGGTTTTGTAACGGATATTGATGTTATGCTAATCAGTAGCTCTTTGCCATACCCGCTCCTTCACGGCTCTGACTTTCAATGTTGTTAGAGAGCAGGCTGAGAATCTCTGAGCCTGTGCTCTGACTCACTAACAAACCACAAGGGAAAGGATATGATCTAAGGCATCTACTGCTGGTGTGCACCAGTAGACCACTAGGGAATCATTTAAATCAAAGGGACACTCCAGTGCCAGGAAAACAAATTATTTTCCTGGCACATCAGGTCCCCTCTCCCTCCCACCCCCCATCCAATGTTGCTGAAGGGGTTAGAACCCCTTCAGTGACATACCTGAGACCTCTGCCCACGCTCCTTCCCCGTTGACGTCATCCGGCAGGGGAGACCTAATGCGCATGCTGCGCACGCGCATTAGATCTCTCCATAGGAAAGCATTGAAAATGCTTTCAATGCTTTCCTATGGGGTTTTAGTGACACTGGAGGTCCTCACATAGCGTGAGGACGTCCAGTGACGCTATAGCACAGAAAACCTGTGCTATAAACCAGGAAGTGCTCTCTAGTAGCTGTCTAGTAGACAGCCACTAGAGGAGGAATTAACCCTGCAATGTAATTATTGCAGTTTATGAAAACTGCAATATTTACAGTTGAAGGGTTAAGGGTAGTGGGAGTTGGCACCCAGACCACTCCAATGGGCAGACGTGGTCTGGGTGCCTGGAGTGTCCCTTTAATGTGCTGGTGTCCCAAACTTGTGAGCTGTGTTGGCCACCGGGCGCCTCTGTTGTCATGGCACTCTACGTGACCCCCCAGCTTGCACACCTCAAAGGCTGGCTCTGCTGACAGACACACTGGCACTCACTCTCAATAACACACACACACAAACCCTGACAGACAAACACTCACTGACAGGCACTTCCAGACACACATGCACACACTTCCAGACACACACGCGTACACTTCCAGACAGACAGATACACACACTTACTGACAGACACACACTCACTTCCAGACACACACACACACTCACTTCCAGACACACACACACACTCACTTCCAGACACACATGCACACACTCACTTCCAGACACACACACACACACTCACTTCCAGACACACACACACACACTCACACTTCTAGACACACACACACTAATTCCTTGTTGCTCCTACCTTTAGGAGTCCTTGGGGTCCTTGCCCTGGGGTCCAGTGACTTCCTGCTCCTCTCTGCTCCCTCGTGCAGTTTAGTGATGCGGGGCCGGAATGACGTCATATTTCGGCTCCCGGCATCACCAGAGAGGGCGCGCGAGGGAGCAGGAAGATCAGCAGAGGCAGTGCTCCTTTACCGCCGCCTACCTCCTTCCTCATGAACAGCGGCCGGTATATTTCTGCAGAGTAGGCACCTGCCATCTGGGACAAGCAGGTGCCTACTGTGCCTTGCTACCGTGCGCACTAGGTGCACCATTTTTTAAATTATTTAGGGCGGCCTGGGGGCAATTGCCTCCCTTCCCCCCGGCCCAGCCCCCCCCTGCCTACACTGACCTTTCACCTTGCTTCCTTGAGCTTCTGGCAAATATATCTCTAATGAGACAGAGAGGGGTATTTTTATATACATCCCTATATACTTATTAACCCTTAATAGGGAACACATGGGATGGGCGACAGCATTGTAACAAGGCATTGTAACAAGGCTGTGTGATACAAAAAGTGAATAAAAAAAAAAAAAAACAAGTCCTGTGCTCACTCCAACATACACTACATACACTACACAAACACACACTGTGCAGTCACTATACGCACACACACTACATCCACTACACAAAGACACACTCTGAATTCACTATCCACACACACAGGGCCGCCATCAGGGGGTGACAACCATGAGGGTTGTCACGGGCCTGGTGGCATTGGGGGGCCCGGGGTCCCACGTGTAGCGGCGGAACTGCCGCCGGTGCAGTTGCACCAGGGCCCGCACGCTGATGGGGCCTATCGGGTGGCCCACGCACTCAGGGGGCCGGTCAGCGCTGTTGCCGAGTAATAAGTGGTCACTTCCTCCCAGCTCACTCCGCGTGGGAGGAGAAACAGCCAGGCAGTGAGGGAGAGCCGTGCCGACTCCTATCATCCCCAGCCACCCTCCTGCAAAAAAAGGTAAGAAACAGGAGGGTGGCTGAAAAATGAGCTGTGTGTGTGTGTGTATGTATGTATGTATATATGTATGTCATTATGTATGTCTGTATGTATGTATGCCAGTAGCAATGTATGTCAGTATGTCATTATGAACGTATGTCTGCGTGTATGTGTGTATGGATGTCAGTATGAATGTATGTATGTATGTCTGTATGCCATTATGAATGTATGTCTGTGTATGTATGTGTGTATGGATGTCAGTGTCTGTATGTCTATATGAATGTATGTATGTATATGTCTGTCTGTCAGTATGTCTATATGTATGTACATATGTATGTATGCCAGTATGCCAGTATGAATGTATGTATGTCTGTATGTCATTATGAATGTATGTCTCTGTGTATGTATGTATGTATGTATGTCAGTGTGTATGTATGTATGCGTCTGTATATCCTCATGCATGTGTGTCTGTATGTATGTTAGTATGTGTGTGTCTGTCACTATGTATGCCTGTGTGTCTGTATATGTGTGTATGCCTCAGTATGTGTGTGTCAGTATAAATGCCTATATGTGTGTATGTCTGTTTCAGTATGTGTGTCTGTTAGTATGTATCTGTGTGTGTATGTGTATCTGTGTCCTTTTGTATCAGTGTGTGTGTTTGTGTCTGTATGTGTATTGGGTGGGTGGGATTTGGAGGCGGACCCTGTGGGCGTGATTGGAAGTGGGCCCCAGGGGGACCAGACCCTGAGCTGAGTTAGGGTCCTCAAAATTTCTGCTATATAACTTTATTCTGTGTATGTATTTTAATGTTACAGTTGGAATTGAGTTTTTTAAATCATGAAAGTCCTTAGGCTGATACAGAGATGACACTACACAAAGCATGTCAAACATGCGGCCCACAGTGAATATATTTGCGACCTGCATGCCCTGGGGCCACTTTCAGCTGTGGCTGTGAACAGCCACAAGACAGGAAAATGATTTCCTGATTCTTGCTCTCCTGACCACAAGAGGGCAGAGTGGCTGTGTGTCTGCTGTGCAGAGCAACCACTCCCCCTTCCCTCCTGCTCGCAGTGCCAGCCACTCCCCCTTCCCTCCTGCTCGCAGTGCCAGCCACTCCCCTGTCCCTCCTGCTCACAGTGCCAGCCACTCCCCTGTCCCTCCTGCTTGCAGTGCCAGCCACTCCCCCTTCCCTCCTGCTCGCATTGCCAGCCACTCCCCTTCCCTCCTGCTCGCAGTGCCAGCCACTCCTCCTTCCCTCCTCCTCGCAGTGCCAACCACTCCCCCTTCCCTCCTGCTCGCATTGCCAGCCACTTCCCCTTCCCTCCTGCTCGCAGTGCCAACCACTCCCCCTTCCCTCCTGCCCGCAGTGCCAGCCACTCCCCTGTCCCTCCTGCTCGCATTGCCAGCCACTCCCCCTTCCCTCCTGCTCGCAGTGCCAACCACTCCCCCTTCCCTCCTGCCCGCAGTGCCAGCCACCCCTGTCCCTCCTGCTCCTGCATTGCCAGCCACCTCCCCTTCCCTCCCCTGCTCTCAAGAGTGCCAACCACTCCCCCTTCCCTCCTGCCCGCAGTGCCAGCCACTCCCCTGTCCCTCCTGCTCGCATTGCCAGCCACTCCCCCTTCCCTCCTGCTCTCAGTGCCAACCACTCCCCCTTCCCTCCTGC